ATATGGCACTCACCTTGTGCTGCTAAAAGTGCAATAGATACAGCGACAGTGTAAAAAAATCCTCAAGCCTCGTTATGAACATTTTCATACTATACTATTTTCTTCATACCGCATCAGAACCACTGACTGTGTCCCTCTGCAGGAGGAAATGTTTGCATTTACCAATAATGAGTCTTGTGCTTATGAAAAAAAGTTACAATTATTGGCATAACTACTCACCTGAGCTATATTGTTAGCTACCTGCATGTTGTCTTTTTTGGCGAGTGAAATTTGGAAAAATAAATGAATGAATCCTTTTTTTGTTGTTGAACTACTGGCCAGAGGAAGAACTTGTGTTTGATTTTGGTGTTAATTGTCTCTTTAAGGGGTTACAAGACACAAAGAGGTTGATTCAGTCAACTGGATTTTGTTGCTGTTGGCTTGAGGTTTGGGGAAAAAAAATAAATGTTGGAAATGTCCAAATGGGCATATTTCGATATCTTCTAACATTTTGTTACCCAAATGATTCATTGACAAAATGATTTGAGGATATAGAAAAGTCAAAGTCAAAACTAGTATCTAGTTCATACTCCGACTTACTCCCTCTGTATTTTCCTTTGTTCCTCAACTACTGCCCGTATAGCGGATATATCTTGACAGGTAACTGAATTGTTACCCTTCAGAAATTCATGATCTTAGCAGTAAATCCACTTCAGGCTGAGGACAGAAACGTAAAACATAATAGTCTGCAGGATTTATTAGGTGTCTGATTTATGCAGATCTTACTCAACAGATTTCTACCTCTTTGAATAGTTTCACTGTACAACTTGGGTTCAGCTGACATTTACAATGCCAAAGCAATAACTAGTTGCAACCATCCTAACTGCATTGATTCCTTTATATCTACAGCACTCTTTATTTGAAAGATCTTAAGCATGGACCCTTGTATCACATTTATGAGTTGTTGAGCGCATAAATATTTCCCCTGAATAAGCCCCTATATAAACCCTATCGGGTCGCTGTGTCTCCATTAAGGAAATGAAAGTGGTGACCAAGCCTGTGCTGATTGTTCCCTCATGAGGATCTCATAAAAGAACTTGAGAATTATTGGCCCTACCATATATTATCTCAAGCCCTGAAAGCCTATTCTGTGTCCAAGGCATGCTGTCTCTGCCACATAGATCCAAAAATAATGTGAGTTAGAAATCTGAGCTGCTAAACTCCTGCAACCTCAACTGTCTGCAGAGAAAACAATGGATTTCAGCAGCATGCACTGCTGTTCCGCCGGGTTTGAGTGTGTGCTTTATGTCAAGTGACTCTACTTACTCAAACCAAACAATGTATCCACTGTGCTTCATTATGGATAGGAACTTGGGTTTTTTTTCCTCTGAAAGCCTCGACGTACAAATGCTGGACACTGTTTTACACCCGAAACACTCACTGCGTTCACCCCCCCAAAAAGAAAGCAAAATATTATTTTATGATCACCCAAAGTTAAGTCTTTGGCTAGGTTTGTTACACTTTTATCGTTCGTCATCTAAGAAAATTTACTATTAGACAAAGATAACCTGAGTAAATACAAAATGCAGTTTTTAGACAACGATTACATTGATTAAGGGAAAAAAGTTGCCTAGCCTTTTATGAAAAAGTAATTTCACACTAATAACTGGTTGTGCCACGCTTGGCAGTAAGAATTGCAGTCAAGCATTCATAACTGGCATGAGTCTTTAACATCACTAGAGGAATTTTGGCCCATTCCTCTCTGCAAAATTCAGCTATATTAAGGGGTTTTTAAGCATGGACGGCCTGTTTAAGGGCATGCCAAAGCACCAAAGTCTGCGCTTTGATTAGGCCGCTCTTAAAGCTTCATTTAGTTTTGAACTTGCTGATGTGTTTCAGTTCTTCTGCGTAACAAGGGTCCACCTGAAATTTAGGGCACAAAAAGATGGTCAAATCTTCTCCTTCACAATTTTCTGTTTAAGAGTAGAATTCACGATTCCTTCAAAACTATATCAAGTCATACAGGTCCTAAAACACCAAAGCCATCACCAACACACTACCACCATCATGTTTGACTGTTGGTATTGTATTAGTTTTATGTAAGGAGGCTCAAACTTTCCAAAAAGTTAAACTTAGGTCTAATCAGTTCACAGAATATTTTACCCAGAGTCTTGAGAAAATCAAATCAAATCAAGATGTTTTCTGGTAAATGTTAATAAGCCTTTGTGGGGGGTTTTGATCAGTAGTGGTTGCAGAGTAACTTGCAGAGTCTCTTTCTTATTATTGAGTCATGAACACAGACCTTAGCTAAGGCAAGTGAGGACTGAAGTTCTTCAGATGTTGTTCTGCGCTTTTTTTGACCTCATGGATAAGTTAGTGTCCTTCTGGTAGTCCAGCCACTATTGTCACTAACCCGTTTAGATTGGGAACACAAGGAAACTACTAGCCTGTCTTTGTTTGGAGGTAACACAATCCATCTACTAACATGGATTATAAGGACCTTTACTGTTCCAATGGTGTGTGCAGGATTAAACATTTATCAAGTCAGTGCATGTGCAACTAATCCCAAAAGGTCAACCTGTGGACACACACAATTTAATTCTACTCTCGAGTTTGTATGATGCCATAGAGAGGCCACTTGTTTTGTACGGCTGTCTAAGGCACACAGCTCTGGCTGTGAGTATAGAAAGCCCCAATCTATTGTTAAAGTCTTCTGCTTGTGAGGGGCAGCCAATCAGGTAGCTAAAGCAGCTTCTTTCAGACAATGTTTTATGTGTTAAATTGTTTTAAACAGTGAATCACACCAAGCTGCTCTAGTAGAGTCCAAAGAAAAAAAATGGATCTGAAAATAATGATCATAATTCGCCCTCCAATAATTATAGCAGTACAAGAAATATGGTTAAAAAAAAGTGTATTTGGCTGCATTTTCTGGACCAGTCCGGCTCTTAGTGTTTTGGTGACAAACAGTTTTTAAGAATGCCAGTATGTCTATTTTCTACATTTTTTGAACCGAGAGCTTTAAGGCACTCTGGGATTCACTGAACTAGAATTACTCTTTCATCCTTTTTTAAATAGAATTTAACAGCTGAATGTTGTGTGATATGCCCCAGCACAATCACCTGATGGGCGTTGAGGGGGTTATTATAATCGTTGTGAAAGTGTTATAAATGAGCCTGCAATGGAGCATGTTCAGGTGTGAATTCCAGACTTTTGGCGAGCCTGAAAGGATTAGTATAGCAGATTTCTGATTTTGTTGCGCTGATATGGACTGGACAGGTTTCTACAGAAGCTCATTTGCAGGGTGGTTTTATGCCCACAGAAGCACTTTTCAACCATTAGCTCCCTTCAGTGTTCAGTCTTAGCAATCTTTGTCCATTTTGACATGCTACAGTTTACTTATTTTAGTGATCTAGCTGGTACAAAGTGGTGTGTTTATGCTATTTCTTTCCTATATAACTTCTTTTATAGGTTTTTAAAAATTGCATCACCCCATTTTTATGTTATAGGCCATGTTTGAATGGTTATAGGCAGTCATGCACACTTGTTTCAGTTGGTTTTTGCTGCTCATTAGAGCTTAGTGTTGCACAGTATGCCTGCTTTTCCTTGTGACTAAAGAGGCACAGTAGCAAAGCAGATTCCAGCACTGAAGGCTGTAACTGGCAGACCATATCTCCACTTTAAAAAGTGTAATTTCATTAAATCTGCTCTGTTTCAGTCTAGAATCTGTGCCGGCTGAAACGAATAAAGTGGATTAACTCTGTCAAAGGATAATGCAGATTAAGCTGGTAAACACAATCACTAAGTGGTGCATATGGCCTGTAGGGGTGGAGTCAAAGCTTCATTTTTAAAAAATATATTTTTGGTAGAGGAACTGGGCGAAGAGATTTGTTTTTTGTTTTTTTTAATGCACAGGTGAAAGGCATGTGTTCATATTTTCAATTGTGACAAGGTGGTCCAACATCATAACATACACGCATGGCCACCCACTCCCGCCCGGCGTGTAACAGCAGCTCCGCTTGAGCCCAAAATACCTCCAAGTTGTCACATATTTGTTCTTCAGTAAAAATGATCCCTGATGATGCGAACGTTACTGCTAATGAAAGTGTTAAGTTATTCAGCTGGTGTTTCTCTGGAGTGAAACGTCAGCATGTCTCTTGATCCCTGAAGCGATCTTCCCCCTGGGTGAGGGCGGGTGGTCATGCTTGCTCTGACGGTGGAGATACAGCCAGCTCAATGAAAGGCAGGGGTGGCAGCTGGAGAAAATCCATTCCCAGAGTGAGCGTTCTGCTGAGGCAGGTATGCCGACCTTTGAGTCATCTGATAGGTCAGCGCTCGGCAGCGTGCCTGGACATTCATGGCTAAACGCCAAGCCTGGTGGTGCTCATAGTAAAGCTCATCTGAGCAACAGCCAGCTATGATCAATGGAACCCCTTGGCAGCTCATTTATTGTACAGTATGGCACAGCCGCAAAACACTCAACCAACAGATGCAGGTGACAGATGACGATAGGCCGATAGGATGAGGGGTTTTCACATGTGCGCGGTCACCGGTGCACTACCACCTCACTGTACAGTACAGCGCTCTTTGAATAAAATGTACTTTTAATCCATTAGTTTAGTCGATCGCGTTGAATCGCCACCCCAATTATTGTTTGTAAATTAGTCTTGAATGAAATGGGATTTTCCTGCTTAGTCTGCAGGATTTCAGCGCATGAAGATTTTCCTGTTTCTTGTTCTCCTGCATGTCACGCACCAGCTGTGCTGCGATGAACATGAAAATGACGTGTTTGCCCACAAAACGTCTTCCCTCTCCTTCCAGGTGCCCACGGAGTGAGAGAGGAGCCCCGGTTTGTGACGGCGCGCGCTGGAGAGAGCGTGATCCTGGGGTGTGACGTGTCCCCTCCCCTGGACGGCCAGCAGCCCCCCTATGTGGTGGAGTGGTTCAGGTTTGGAGTGTCTATTCCCTTCTTCATCAACTTCCGCTTCTACCCTCCTCATGTGGATCCAGAATACACTGGTAAGACAACTGTAGGTCTGGCTAAAATAAAGTAATGCAGCTACAGAGAGCAGACAAATACAGAAACATTGTGAGTAATAAGTTTTATCCATGATGGATTTAGTCTAAAACCTCTGAATTAGTGTGGACTTGGATGCCTCCTGGGATAAGTGAGGATCAAAATCTTATCAACTGCCAAGCACGCTGAATCTGAGACTTTTTATTGTTGACACTGCAGCAGAAACAACGTTGACAACATAATTTCACGCTACATACAGCGGCCAAATTGAAGAACACCCCGCGGGACAAGCACACATGTTTATCTGTATGTAACATGAACCGAATTCGAGTGCATACCAAACAGTGAATGGTGCCAAAATCATAGTTAAAGCTGCATATAGGTTAAGATATATTTACCTACTAGCACCTCTAAGACTCTTTTCATTGACATCTAGATATAATCCACACTTGATTGTGATGTATCTATCTTGAACTTCAGGTTTTTGCTCATATAAACCCAACTGTCCCCTCTCAGATGGTCATTAATGAACTTTAGAGTTGTTGATAGGTGGATTCTGCTTATTTCCTCTCCTTTAATTCTGCATTGAAATAAATCTTCCCCCACACACCACAGTAATTCTATAAAGGCAAAAAAGATAACAAAACATCTCATTTTTTCCTCGTTTTAGTTGTTTCACCTTGTTTTGGTAAAGACGTCTTCGATCAACCTGTCAAGTCAGCCCCCGATCTTGTGGCTCATGGCTATAGTAATGATATATTAGTACAGAAACATTGCAATGTTTAGCTCCAAGGGTCCTGCATAACTATAATCATTCGGTAAACATTTCTATGATTGCGCAGGATATAGATTTTCCTGCACTGCTGCAGACCTTATTATGAGCTTTTGGCTGAGAGCGGGACCATTTCTGACAGCCGGTTTCAAACAGATTGTAGTGCAAATGTGCTGTGCACATGTGTACCTCTCAGTCGTATTTCATTGAGAAGATTGACCTGCAATTTCAGCTTGATCCACAGTGTTTTCCCCTCAGAATCGTACTTCTGCTGTTTGAGCATCAGGCGAGTGGCTCATCGCGCACCGAGGCTTTTATGCGGCTCGAGAACGACTGGGTGTTCAGAGCTGTGCAGGAAAAGCAGAAAAAAACATTCACAATAATTGAATAGTGCATTGAACATGTAGGCCTTCCCACACACTCATAAAATATACAGAGCACATAAAGTACAGAGTCAGTAAAGTATATTAAAAAAGCCCCCACATGTACATGTAGAAAAAGAAAAGTAATCTCATGTTAGTAAACCCTAACAATCTTTGCTTTTATAGAGATGTAACTGGAGTTTAGAATGATTTAGATGAATGTGCCTAATGTGTGAAGCTGCATCCTTTTAATGGGGGATTTATTGCAAGTCTGTTTTTATTTAAGCAGATGTGCAGACGGGGAGCAACATGAGCATCATTCTGTTTTTACTTTGCTTGTTTTTTGGTCTACCAGCTCCTGAAAGAATAACCTGGCTGTTAAATGCATTTCTATGATCACTACCTGTGTCTTAACCGTGTCTGTGTGCTGTCTGGTGCCGGCACAGCACTTAACACTGGGATTTTTCTAAACTCAGCTGACGGTTGAGGCCAAAGTGATGTCCTAAAGCAGTGAGAGTGAACAAAAACAATAAAGCCGTGCGCTGTAAAATTAAAACTACGATGCCGCAGAGCTCCGCAGAGTCGAAATTGAACCGCAGAGTCGGGCAACCACTTTTACATTTGATCCTCTGTTAATATAAAATTATTGATTATAGCTGCTTTAAGGTTAGGGTACAAAATGTGTTTACCTCACATTCATCACAGCGTAACACAAGTCAAGACAGTATGTCTGCAGCAGGCTCTGTGCTGAGTGCTTACAGCAGGAAATTGGTTCTTCTGATGTTGCCTCAGCGGCTGTGATAAGATGGTGAGTTGTCAGAACGAGGTCAGATTTAGCCCTTCCCTTTTCTCACCTCTTTAGAAGCACAAAGCTTCTGGCTGACCTGGTAATAGGCTGTGAAATAAATGAAGACGTGACTTCCCGAAGAAGCCGAGGATTTACCTCCTCAGCTTGAGTGTCCTAAATGTGGACGTGAAAGAGTTTTCTGCTTTTATTTATATGAATCATGTAAAGCCTGTAAATAATACAGCAATCACTGGAATTCTTCCCGGTGGGCTTTTAATGCAGGATCTTCACGGCAAAGAAGCCTAATGGCAGTGACTCACTGTCTTGGGAGCGCCCCTTTTTATTATACAGTGGCTACAGTAGACGTTGCAGTTGCTGAAGCGTTTCACTGTTTAGGCTCGTGACTAACAGCTTTTTGTGCGAACAAACAGCACTTTTCTACACTTCACTGTGCTCACTTGGACTAGTGGGCCTTCGCCATGTGGCATTAGGTCCACTGTTGAGGAATTACCAGTGAACAGATGCAACTTGAATATAGCCAGTCTCATTACATAGATTAAAGTGTTTCTGGGGATTGCATGTGCATGGTGACAGCGTAATAATGACACTGGACTGCAGTTTATGAGATGCTCCTTTGGGCGCTTAATGGGCCCGTGTGGTCTCAGAGCTCATCTGGGCTATTCCCATGAATCGTTATCACTCAGTATGAATAAAGTTGATGAATAGAGGAAATGTGTGATTATTCCATCACACAGCTGCTACCAAAACAGAGAAGATTATCCATGAATACTGTACTTACTTGCGCGCATATTTTCACTCTGATGATTGCACTTTTGATTCCAGGAATCCATTCGGGTTCAATGCATCGGTTTGTCTAGGCTTATCAGTCTTGTTAATTATCCGATTTTAAAGACTGTTAAGAGACCTATAGCACAATCATTTCTATGTGTCATTCAAATCTAAGATGAGATGTTTTCATTGCAGCTGTGTGTGTGTGTTTTTTTGCCTCTTTAACTCGATGCAAAATGCAAAATTATACAGATCTCTCTGCTATCCTGGATCATTTTGTTTGCCAGTTTGACCTGCAGCTATATGGAAATTATAACATTAAAAAACATCTATTTTTGTGCCTGCTGTAGCAAAGACACAATCAATAATTCAGATGTGCAGCTTGTGAAATTTTAGTGTCAGATCCTGCCGCTTTGGGACAAGCTGTTGGAAAACTGAATCATATCTCTTTTGCCACCATGTTTAGCCCCAGCTTGCATGTGGATAATACGGATATGTAATAATCAGTTATCTGCAGATGGATGCAGAGATGATGCAATGTGTTGCATTTTTCTTAATATTAAAAATAAGAGGAGTTGTTTAGAGAGTTTGGTTTTGCTTGTTCAGGGCTGAGTTAGGAGCAGCCTGTTAGTAGTAATGCATCAATAGTGGATATTTTAGCATGACATAATTCAAAAAATGTAGCAAAATCGAAATTTCTGACAGCCATGCAATACGCTGGTTTTAATGTGGTAAAGCAATAAAAGTAAAATAACCACACATTCAAGTTAAAAAGCAGCAAGGTGTGCTTGATCCGAAGAGAAACCCTGCATCCACGCTGCAAGCGATGCGGCGAGCTGAGATCACAGGAAATGAATGAGATTTGGTGACTTCAAGCAGCCGCGAGCAAAATAACCGCTGGTGATTTGAAGCGGGCGTGACCCAAGATACATTTATCTCAGCTTCCTGGTGAGCGACTGAAGCAACATCCAATAAAAGCACGACAGCACTGTTAACTGACGTTTGAACTTGTAGTAAATATTTTAGTGGGTTACCGAGGCAACCAGAGCATAGAACCTTCTCCAGCTTCAAGGCGATGTACCTTCAAGTCTGGACTGTGTGGTAGCTTTAGCATGAAACTAAACCAGGCGGCCTCCCTTGCTTCCAAGCCCAGCACTGTTCACAAAATGAAAACTTTCAATGGAAGAGAAATAGTCATAAGGTACAACATGGACTCTGGCTCAACCCTCAACAATCTACAAAAAAAAGGTTTCTAATTAAGCTGATTCAGGGAATTAAAAACTATACTAGCTAAAGCACTTCCAAAGTTTTGCAAAAGTGCAATAAAAAGCCAGGTTTAAAGCAGGTAAAACATGAAAATCAGAAGGTCCCAATATGTTTTTTTATGATTTTGATGAAGTCGGTGCTTTGGTGCTTTGGATTTATGTGTGCCATTGTTTGCATGTTCAAATCCAAATGGGAAAAAAGATGTTGTGTGAAAAATTAATGCAATATACAATAAAATAACCGCTGGTGACAGAAAGTGTGCGTAACCTGAGATAATCTTTTCTCAACCGGTGACTGAAATATTCTCAAGTAACCAACTATCAGCTTCAAAGGAATGCACGGCGAGCGCCTAGCAGTGAGAGCGCATGTAAAGTCAATGATATTCAGTGACTTCAAGCAATGATGGATGAAATAACTGCAGTCAATGTGAAATAGGGAGCCCTGAATTAAATTTTTTAAACTGACCACCAATGAGAGTGCAGGACTGACAAATGACTGGGTAGTAAATACATAAGAGCGTTACCTAGACAACCAGTCTACTAGCAAACCACAGGGATGTTTGCTGGTGACCAACCATTGGCGACAAACCCGAAAGCAATGTGCACCAGGCTTTAGATTACTGAATTAACCACGATGTGCCGTTTCACTCTATAATGGGGAAAGACTGAATTCAAATTTTTTGTACTCTTACTACAACAACGTTTTCCTTTAGCCATAGTCTTTTTACTCACATGTGAAACTCAGCTGACTTAAAATGTGTTTTTTCTCAATGTGTTTGCCAACTTTGTCACTTTGGATCTTCAGTATTTACTTTTCAAAGCTTTCCTATCTGACATAGCCTGTGATGTGATCTGAACAAGGTGTTGGCCCCTCTGTTTTCACAGCAGACAGAACCCTGTACTGTGTAAGTGGTGTATACCCAGGAGGCCCATCCTGACGTGGATACAGTGCTGTTAACTCTGTTTACAGCAGCACCCTCTCACTCCTTGACAAATAGAAGCTGAGACTGATCCCTACCCTTCATGCCACCACCCACCCCACTCAGCACTTCAAAAATAGCCCTGACTTTTTAAAGACGATCTACCTTTTTACTGCAAGACTGCAGTCCGTGCTTCTCTCGCTTCCTCTGTACTGTATTGATTTTCCACTAACAAAAAAAACGTCAGTTTTCTACCCCAGCCACGGCAGCAATCACAGGGTTGGGTATCTATCTATTGCATTTTTGTACCGGTAGAGCAATTCAGCCCGCCCTCACCGTCGATAGATTTGCCTGACATTTAGTCTGAAGTAAGAGGAAACAGTGCTTACAGAACATCTACACATCAAAGTTGGGAAAAATGCTCCATTTCCAAACACTCGTCAGACAGAGGAGATCCGAATGTTTTAGTCTGTCGGGCTGTCAGATGCAGCCATGTGAACAGCGGGCTGGAGGCTTGAAGACAGACAGCTTAGCAGCTGAAGATTTCACCATGCCTGGCTTCCTGAATGTCTCTCATCCCTTGTGATTTCCTCCTTTTAGAATTCCAATTTATCCTCAGCCTTGAAGTAAAAAGAGTTGGGGATGGAGAAGTTTCGTAAGAAAGATCATTTATGTGAAGTGGAAAGCTGGTCTTTTCCCACAGCGACACCAAACGCTGTATTAAAATTCAGCTAAAGGTGTGACTGGCAGTTCTAAGGATAAATCATAATACTTCGGCCCATGTGGATGCTCGTAAAAGTTGTGACATTTAATAAGTTAAAGAACTAGTTTTACATTTTGGGAATTTATATATATAT